GCATTTAAATAAGCATAATCACAATCTAAAATTTATAAAAGTCCAACCACTTAAAACCGTTCAGAAACAACCAGGACAATCACACAAGTAAATTGAAAAAATCCCGTGAAGTTCGCGAAATATTTTGAATGAAAAGACTTCATACAGCTTATCCTTACGGTCTCAATGACACAATGTTGGGACAGGGGAACATATCTAAAACTTCTATCGGTGTGATTAAGATTGTCGATAAACGGGTAAGAAATAATAAGTATCAAGGTGAACGTAAAAACCGTAATCTTCGTATTAAACATCGTATACATTATACACTTGCTGATCTGTAAGCTATTAAGAAATAATGGTAGACATCAGTTATTTTGCAAACTTAGTCATATACAAATAAGTAAACTATATGATATTTTTCTGGAGTGTGATAACATTTCAGTTTTTAGCCCGTTGTATGAATACACCCGTCTTATTACAGCCTTTTGTCATCACAGGGTGTTTCCTAGTATCGATAAATCTAAAAATCATTAACGGCATTTTCTTAAATTAAAATATATAAATATAGGTATTGATTTCATTAACTTATCTAGTATATTCAATGACTACAATCCATAGCCAAATACATCCATATTTTGATAATACGTATTCGTACAAAAAACCAGCAGAGGTTTGATTTTTAATTATGCGTCAGTAACATCAGACGTCAATATAGAAAATAATGCTCCTTCCACTTGAGACTGCGAACCATCTAGTTTTAGATTTGTTCCATATGGTCATGTCATTACAGGAGATCTGAACTACGTTGAGGACCGTAAGGTCAAACTTTTCTTAAGAAAGGACCTAAATGTCGTACTCCATCTATTATAGATTGGAAACAGTGTCGTCAGGTCATTAAAGAGGCTCTGTCTGCCTACTGTAAAAATTGGTGTAAACGTGAAAAATCAGATAAAAAATCTCTGGACAGTTTTTTCATAAAATTATGAATACTGTTGATATTCGTATATCTCATTTTAAAAACAATTCTGAACATAATAATAGTGTTCATAATATACCCATTTCTAGAATAAAAAATAAACTCCAAGTACTCGCAAAACAAAGCAGCCAATAATGTAGTGGTGGAGTGACGCATATACTACACGGAAGTTCTTCAAAATGAAATTATCAATTCTTCTACATTCAGGTCCGTACGCTCCACAGGGAGTCAAATTGTAAACAAGCATATCACTGCCACTGCCCAGTTCCAAGCCTCTTCCGAACATTTGAAAGTCCCGACTATTTACTGGTTACCTATATAAAACAAACAACCCTTTAAATTTCGTTTCATCTCTGCATCTAGTAAGTATTCTACTACTAATCTGTCAGTGCTTCTAACTACCTCCCTTACTAATATCGAAGAACTTGTTATTAACTTTTGTAATAAAGCTTATAAAAATAATGGTATTAATTATTTTTGGAGTGTTACAAATTATTTAGAGGTTTTAGAATAAATACGTGCTTTTGATGATCCTTTTAATTATGTTGACAGTTATGCCTTTTCTATTCTCTACACTACAATTCCACACATTCTTATAAAAATAAAGTTTTCATATTAAGTTTAATGGTCTTTTGAGAAATCTCGTTGCAACTTTATTTGCTGTAACTCGTTTAAAGCCTTTCTCTGTAACGAAACAGGAAAGTATACTAGATACACTTACTGGAAATGTGAAGATAGGATTGAAGCTTTAAATTTTCTCCAAGACAACATATATGTACGTTTCGGCGATTATGTGTATCGACAGGTAGTAGGTATTCCTATGGGCACCAAATGCGCCCCTTTAATAGCAGATGTATTCGTGTATTGCTATGAATCTCAGTTTATTACCAAACTCAGTAAAGACACGTCATTGTTATATTTGGTTGACAATTCAACAATACCTACCGTTATCTTGATGATATGTTTTCGTTAAATAATCCAGAGTTCTCTAAATATACTACCGAAATTTACCCGAAGGAACTTACCTTATTTGAATCTAACATACACAGCAGTAGTTGTCTCTTTCTAGATTTAGACATTTCAATTTCTAAAGGAAAACGCCAAACTAAAATTTACTACAAAAGAGACGATTGTTCATTCCCTATTGTTCATTTTCCTTTTTTAGACGGCGATGTTCCTTTGGCTCCATCATACGATTTTTATATATCCCAACTCGTTCGTTTATGCCCGTGTGTGTAGTGATGTCAAAGATTTTAACGAACGTAATCAATGCATCACTGGTAAATTATTAAGTCACGGATTTCGTTACCATAAATTACTTTAAACTTTTACTAAGTTTTTTCATCGATTCAAATATTTGATTAGTAAAGTTGGTTGTACCTGTAGAAAACTAATTAAAAACGGTATTTCACATCCTAATGTTTACGGTATTTTTGTACTAGAAGCGCGGAAATCACTATGTGATCCGTGTAAACTCCTCCATCCTTTAAAAAAACTCATCAGTAAAGGTTATTTCAGTAATGTGGTAATAAGATCTTTGAATATTCTTTACATTGGCACACATTTTGTCATCAACAAATTAAAACATAACTAAATTTGTATTGTTTTCGAATGTTTTTTTGTTGATGTATAAATACACATCCACGTTCATTTTCTATTTAGATATTCCTTTTCTATATATAACATTATACACATTTATTATAAGCTTAAATCCAAACTATCCTACTGCCTGTCGATACTTTGATTTTTGCATTGCACAAGTCATGTTTTCTTTGACTGTCCATGGCGTTAAAAAACTAAATCCCTGGGATGTGTTTAAGTTGATTTTAGTCTCTGATGCATGATTTTTTATTATTAATTGTTTTTGGCTTTTAACTAGCTTTCAGTAACTGCGAGTACTCTTAAATCGTACTTTCGTGTTAATTTGACCTATTGACACAATTTGTAATGCATTTTTGTTATTCAATGATTACTTATTTGGTGTTATATCTCGTCTCATTATTTTTAATATATACCTATTATATACCTTAGTATTTAGTATGACGATAAATTTCCACTTCTGTTCTCGGTCTATGAACAACAAATTTATTTATTTTGTAAAAAATATTTCATTACTCCTAACAACAAAATTATTATATTTAAATTTACCTGTGCACGTTTGTTTTATTCAACGCCAGGTTGTTCAAGGTTATAGTTTTCTTTTTGACATTGTTTTACATCCCTCCCTTTTTTATTCAAAATTGTATTTATATTGTGTCATAGATCTAATTTATTCGTTCAGTGTTTGTTTACTTGTTTTTTGTTAGTTTGTCTTTTTGATTGAGTTAAGCCATTTCAATTGATATTTTATAGTGTGTCTTTCAATGTTGAAATGTTACACTACTAGTTCGGGTGAGTTTAGGGTTGGCGCCTGTTAAAACGTTTAAACCCGCTACATTTGTTTGCACCTGTCCTATGTCAGGAACCTGTTGTTCAGTGGTTGTCGTTTGTTGATGTGATTCTTAAGAGTTTCTCGTTTCTCTTTTTTTATATAGATTAGACGATTGGTTTTCCTGTTTGAATTGTTTTACACTAGTCATGTTGGGGTCCTTTATAGCATACTGCTCGGTGTGAGCCAAGGCTTCGTGTTGAAGGCCGTACTTGTACCTATAATGGTTAACTTTTTACAAATGGTGACTTGGATGGAGAGTTGTCTCATTGGCACTCATACCACATCTTCTTGTTTCTATTTAAATCTTGCAGATTCCAAGTAATAATACAGTTCAACATTTGACTATACTTCTTTATACTGTCTATTGTTTGAGACTGTATATTGCCCCCTAGATGCCTTTCGTTTTTTTTGTTTATTTGGGTTATTGTCTCATTGTCTTACATCTATTTGTCATTTTTTTATACAAATATGAACGGTTTAAGACCACGTAGATTGAATTGGTTAATGCTTTTAACCAAAATATTAATTTGCATAAACATGTAATATGATGTCTTGTCTTATTGTCATATACTAATGTGCGTCCTTTGATGTATTAAGTTGATTATTTTGGACAGAAGGTTACCTACTTTGTTGTTCCTTCTCATATATGGCAACTAAGTCGTTGTGATTTGTAAAGTATGCAGACATATGAGAACAATTATTTTATCTAAGCAACTTTTAACAAATTTAATCGATAAAGTTATTGATAATACAACATGTGCAATGTAATTTAGCAAAACGCCTGTACATTCACATTTACCTCCACTTTAACATGAACAACTGCTTATTTCAACTTTAGTTCAAAGTAAACACACGTTATTCGTCGACCACAACGCGTATTAACAGAAATAAGCATGGTATCTTAGTAAAAAAAGTAAAACTCGTCTTTTTATAACAAGGCTTCGCTTTCATTTGAAAGTTTTGAATACTTATAGAGAGATATCGAGTAAAGTTAAAATGATAGTATTTTGTATGGGGATAGTTTAAAATCTGATGAAGAGACATTTTGTATACTAATAAACTTTTATAAGTATTCAGTTGCTGATATAATTCCAATTCTGACAATTGCAAAATGAGTGTGCATTCGTCTGACCTGATGAATAAAACAACAGGAAATGCATACCCTTCGACGCACCCGGTTATGCTGTATTTCGGATTATCTGCGATTCCCTGAATTTTTATTTTTCCCTTATTTGTTTCTGCCTTCCGATTACCGATTTCTCGTTTTATAAATGTGTATTAATATTCTTTAGTAACTTGACGAAATTCGATCAAGACTTTATTGGCTGAATGTTGAATACAAAAGTGATATACTGAGATTGTGCAGAGCCGTTTTTGTTAGCAACTTATAGATTAAGCCTTGTTTAGTCAAAGACATAAATATAAAAAGAAATAACTCAAAAGATGTTCCATTTTACAAAATAGTTGGATTATCAGGCAAGACAATGTTCTTTTTTAAACGACATTCTTATTTGTGAAATGAATAACTCGTTATTATTAAGGATAAAAAAATTTACAAATGCGGAAACATTCTCGTAATTCACATGTTCAGTATGACTGATACATGCTTACCTGTTTCATGTCATTGAGGTAAATCCGAATTTGTTTTTTAATGTTGTTTACTGCATTTTAAATACCTTTTTATAACGTCCTTGTTACTATTAAAATGAAATAATCGAGAACAATCCAGACGTTATATAAACCTTAATTTTATGATAATGACATAGTTATTGAATTAATGCGTATCACTTTACACAAATGTCCTTGAACGAATAAGCTTGTTTGCAACCATTAAAATAAAAAAAAAAAAAAAACAGTATTAAACCGATAGTAAACAACATCATTTTATCTAAGGTATATGTTTTAACTTGTATGTATTTGTGTAGCGTACAAAATTATAAGCAATGATCGACAAAATTATATTCTGAATGCAATTCGTAACGTAATACGTAGTTTTTGAGAGAGGTCAAGTTATTCTATGGCTTTAAAAAAAAACCCGAACGGGATTTCGCATTGTATAAAATAATCCCTACCGACTTTAGCTTTAGAATTATTTCCATGTTTAATGAAAAACTTGGTTAAAAAGTATCAACAAAAATACCAAACTCCAGAGAAAGTTTAAAAAAGGGGAAGCTCGCTAAACATGGTAACACTAAATCAAAATACTGGAATATATCAGCCCACGGAACGAATCAAATACAATTCTCATATTCCTCTATTGACATACTAGGTAGTTACAAACACTACCAAATGAGTCCAAATAGCACCTAGAACACCACCGGCACCAGTCACTGTAAAGCCAGAAACCCAAAAGCCGGATGTACAAACACCGAGTCATGTCAAAAGTAACACGACCAAAAAGGAGCAGATAATGAGACAAATGTAAATGACACACAACTTCAGCACCAAGAATCTGTAACTCAAGATTGTCGCGTACCATCTTTGAGTAGGCACATATTCTATTTCGACACAAACGACATTTTTCAAAGTCTGAATAGCAGCTTCAAGTTTTCGAATAAACTTAAAACATTGGGGCTAAGAGGAGGAAAATTTATAATTTCAAAATTGAAGTCGCCCCGTTTGTCATTATTTTTATATTGAGATGACCCCAGTAGTCAAATTCGATGTAAATGTCCAGAAACGAGGCTGACTAAAATGCATATGTTATCTAGTTCAGCTGGATATATAACTGGGACCAACTAAGAAATGTGTGGATTTTAATAGACAGAACCTGCTTCTTTGATCTCCTCGTATTTTTACAAGTGTCTACCTGAATTCCGACTCCTAGGAAAATATGTAAAGGTCTGCCAAATTGTCCCTTTAAATTCCACAAATATGTTATCAGCATACTGATAACTTATCCCTTTATTTGATGTTAAATAGTTATTCTTTATTTGTCAACCAGACAAATATGAAAACAAAAGAAGACAACCAAAAGACAAAAATATGAACAAGAACTGGTCCCCGCAGGGCCTTCGACAATGAGCACAACCCAAAGTACATAGTACGCTTTAATACGAAAAAGGAAACAATTGTTATACAGTTAGGATGTGTGGTAAGATTGCAATGATTGCATACGGGAACATTTCTAATAGATTGAAAATAACGTAGATGTTGTTATGATGTTGTAATTATGATATTCATTTATCGTGGCTTAATTTGTATTGTCTGGCCTTATAAGTTGTTTACAAAATAATTTTATAATTATGCACAGCCATGTACCGCACAATGAGTTCGGGGAGTATAGAACTACATCTCGGATCTCTGCCGGTATTGTATTGTCATTTAAAAGAAAACTTTTCTGAATAGTTCATTCGTTAAAAATTGTTGCAAAATAATTTTTTTCCGCGATAACATGTCATTACAAATCAGAGGTGGATTTAGGGTGTGTGCCCGACCCCCCTCCCCCTCCCCCTTTTATGTGATAAAACTTTGGTTGATGATATAGGGACTCACTGAGGCATGACTGGAGCGGGCCCTCTCTAAGGCAATCAATTACCCCTCCTCCTTTAAGAATATTTCTTGACACGCCACTGCAAATAGAAAAAACAAAACCACACAGCACCCCCTTTCATAAACTAAGTTAGTACACCAAATTACACTAACAAAGTGACCTGTATTTTTCATTCACCGTTATCGGTTGGTAACAATTTATTTGTGTCTTACCTCATGCAGTTACAGTGTAAATAATTTATTGTGTCTGGATAATGATTTCAAGATTCATTAATGAGCTTATTTCACATTCTAAATGAGACGTAGAGCGTATTAAAACCTGAACGGATCAGAATGGTATATCCTAATTTAGTTAGATCGCAAAAATAGGATGCTAATTTTGAAAATCTTTGCGGAAAATAATATTTTGTTGACGCTATATAAGTCAGATAATACATATTTTAAGGTTTTTCTTAACACACCTCGGGCTGACAACTTAAAATATGCATTATCTATAACATAGTTACCATTCTTTTAAATATGTTAACGTTAATAAAACATCATTGCGTCGTGCAACATTCATTTTAAAGATTATGTGATTATATATGTATACGTCTAAACATGTGACAACTTTATGACAGACATTCTCCACGGGATAACAAGTGGTTATAGAGGCCTCACACCATATAGTATATTTATAATTCGTCTCAAATTAAGCCAAACAATTTCCATCAAATTTTACTGACCACACTAAAGTTTGATATTCTTTTTCTGATGCGTTTTGGTTTTGCAACGACCTACGTCTTATTTGTAACGTGAACTAAAACTTTAATTTTTCTAGATATAAGCTTCATTAATTATTATACAGTTACAATAAAAATATCACTGTTACTGCACGAAACATGACACAAATGCAGTGTTTACGGTGTATAAAAAATTTAAGTCGCTTTGTAAGTATTTTATTACCAACTTAGTTTATAAAAATGGAAAGCTATCTTGATTTTTTTTTCTTTTTCGAGACATTTTCATCGCGGAAAAGCAGATGATTGTTCATCAGATTTAACGAACAAAATTATTGTTTTTCCTCACTTTTGAATGGCAATACAGTTTTAAAACCGATAACTTACTCAGAATTAAATACTATTTCCCCCTCCCGAAACCCAATCCTATCATAAATACACGTTCTATAAAAATAGAAATATTTGTCAGTTGGTCATTTGATCATTTAAGAGAGTAAAAGATAAGTTATATGTATTGATGTAATTAATTTTGAACTCATATGAATAGAACACAAAATCGTGATACATATATATAAGAAGATGTGGTATGAGTACAAATAAGATAACTCTCCATCCAAGTCACAATTTGTAAAAGTGAACCATTATAGGTCAAAGTACGGTCTTCAACACGGAGTCTTGGTTCACATAGAACAACAATCTATTATGGGCCACAAAAATGTCTAGTGTATCGATAAATTAACAAAATGTCACATCATTTCTCACGAAAGTTTAGATGTGCGTCCAGACAAAAGTTTGGTAATTCAGTCTAAATAACGGAGAACATGATTGCTTATGCCGAAATCATGTTAATCCACATGTGACGATAACAAAAAAACGAATTAAATCTTTAAGTAAATTTTATGTTGCATGTTATCAAGGACTGATGGAGTAAATATCACTATTTCCTGCAGAAATAAAATCAGATGACTGGTTTCAGATCAAGGAAACACAAAATCTACGATTTTTCAAAATCCAAGCCTAAACCTAATCCCATCGATTTGATAATGTAACCTTTTAAATCATCATATTCACTTTCACCAACCACAGATAACCATGTTGTCGTATACGAAGATATAAGAAAAGAAAACACACTAACGTTATCACAAAACTGTGTTTAGCTAGTATTTGAAAGGAATAATAATTATTTGTAATTAGATATATCATTTACTTAAACTGCATTACACAAATGACATATCGAACATGAAAAAAACAAAATGTATGCTCAAACTTGTGGATAACAATGGATTTACATGTTTAGTTGTCAGTACTTTATTATCGGTATGAACTATTACATACACATAAATCAAAAAGTATCAAAACTTTTTTTTTTAATTATTAAGAATGTTTTAACCTTGACAAAATTACTCTATTTGTATAGGGCAAACATCTTTGAATTGGGTCCTAACTGCTTTTTAACTAAGTACGTTATTTTGTCTTTTAACTTTTTTTGTGATGCGAGTGCATATGGATTACCACATTTTAATGACGGTATCTATAATGAGTGTATTTACTTTATTATGGCAGATTCCATATAAGAAAGTGAAACAACTCCCATAGGCTAAAATCATAAGCAATGAACTTCTGTTTTTGAATACATGCTTTACTAATAAAGATAAAGACAATTTGACAAAAAAAAAATTATGAGCATCATCCTTTTTAAATAAACGAAGCCTTAAATATCATGTTTCTGACATAAGATTTGACAGACTTTATTGTTTCTGACATAAGATTTGACAGACTTTATTGTTTCTGACATAAGATTTGACAGACTTTATTTTTTCTGACATAAGATTTGACAGACTTTATTATTTCTGACATAAGATTTGACAGACTTTATTTTTTCTGACATAAGATTTGACAGACTTTATTATTTCTGACATAAGATTTGACAAATTGAGTTTCTGACATAAGATTTTGACAGACTTGATTCGGACATAAGATTTTTCATACATAAGATATTTTGACAGACAATATATATTTGTTTTTTTTGACTGACATTGGAAATCAAATCCTAGTTGAAAGTCATTTTTAAAACTCCTGGAAAATACTGCAGCCTAACATCTAACAAGATTTCACTACAGGTCAAAGAACTTTAACTGTTAGCACATTCAAATGTTTCAGACATAAGAAAACAAGTTTGACAGATCTTATGCAGGAAACATATAAGTTAAAAATATTGCTTGAATAAAGTTAAATGAAAGAATCAACATGTGTTTTTTCTTATGCACAGCATGACTTACAGTTTTAACTGGCATATATTGGAACCTACAATGATTTTGAAAGTTTTTACAGCGATGTTCCTGACATAAGATTTATTGACAGACACTGAGCTATAAAGCAAGATATTTGAAAGTGAAAAAAAAATATATATCACAGATGTTTTTGACTAAAAAAAGTAACAAATTTGGGAACAGGGATGTTTGAATCACCAGACTACACTAGTAAATACCAGTATACAAGTGTCAACATAAAGCATTGCAACACATAAACATTGTGTAAAAAAATGGGAGTTAATTCTGTCAAAATTTTTGCATTTTTTCAACTTGTTTTAATCATTTCTACTTTAAATGGAAACAATCATATCCAAAAATTATTTTTATAATTTCTTCTAACATCATTATTCCTCAAAACATTCACAGATTATCTTTAAAATAACAGTAATTATTATTTTTATTTATTTATTCATTTTGACAGACATTTCAATTTCTTATATGGAATCTGCCTTATGCTATATCGTTGAAAATTAATAATTCGTATTTAAAAAAGTGTAACAAATTATACAATAAAATAGAAATAAAGATAAGAACATATGGAATAATTGCCAATGAGACCACATTTTACCAGAGACCAAATGACAAAGTCACTAAGAACATGTCCCGCAATGACACATGTAAAACAAATCAAACAATAAAGCGATCGGCCTGATTTATGTAAACATTCTCGAATTTTAAGTTTGCATGACGTTTTAGTAAATGGCGCCTCTCTTTTGCCAGCTGCAAGTATTTGTTGATCTATTACTCCACAAAATAAACTGTTATATCGTTTATATAGCTGTTGAAGGTTTCTTTGATACATGTAAGTATTCAAATACCATTTTAACACACAGGTAATTGGCTCAACAGTTCCCAATTTAATTTGATCGCGCAAACATTGGGTATCAAATGTTTTTTTCATATAGGCGAATGTATGTAAAACTCATTGGGAAAGACGGTTGTAATACATATATATGGTATTTTTACATTGCCATTGACGTTTGGAACGTTTAGTTAAAGTCCTTACTGGTTTGGCGTAAATCACAAGTTAAAAGCTTGGAGATAGTTGCTATACACTGTTGAGTGTCTGTTTTATCTCAACTATATTTTCAGTAGTAATACACACTTGTTTGTTATGCTTGAATATGTCTATAATGAAAGCTTCTAGATATGACAAATATTATACTAGGATAAACACTCTATTAAGGAAACACATTACTAAGATAAGTCTCTAATGTAATTAAAATATTTGGCTATTTGCAAAAGCATATTCAATATGGTTTGTCCATTCCTACATATATATATATATAAGTTTTAAGTGACATGTTTATGTGATAAAGATTACGGAATATGGACAAATGACGTCAAACTTCCCTTTTGTTTTGCCTTTAAGAATTCCTTTTGCATTACGGATTCATATAAATATAAATATGACACTAATCATGCTAATGTAAGCCTCCCTTCACCATTTATCCTACTTCATAAAAAACAAAACACGACGGATCTATATTTTAGTTAGTGTCTATATCAGTCCAAAATATTAATCTTTTGATGAATAATTTTAGAACAACTTGGAAATTTTCTAATCTTACAACATGTTTTTAAAGTGGAGCCGAACGTATGTTTATTTGTTTTGTACTATATGTGTAATCGTATTCAATGGTAACCGTTGTACTTGGACTTATGCAAGAAACATGCATTTGATACATTGACCGCATTTGGAAGAATACAAACTATAAAAATTCACTCTACGTTATCATATCCAATATTTGCAAAATCTGCATTTTTTTAAATATCTCGACACAACAATGAAATATGTAAAATCAATGAGAAATTAGGTGACACAAATTTAGTCCAAACATCTTACACACATATTTAAAAAATACTGTATGCAACTTCTAAAAATGCCAATTGAACGCCTCTTGCACATTAATTTATGGTTTTGTAATTAACAAAAAATCAACGAAAGCGAAACAAAAAAACCAACTTTGAATAACTGTCTAGCATCTTGCATTTCTTGATTACTTGATTTTTAAAAACAAAAAGCCTAGAAATAATTTGTTGGATTCCTTTATTATCGATTATCAAACACATTGCTTTGTTTGATTCTTATTGAAAACAAAACAAGACAAAATATCGAAATAGATATATACTCTAATTGATTACAAAAAAGTATAAAATGCATATTCACAAACATCATTTAATGTATAGAAAAAAAAAATATTTAAAAATATGTCACAATATGGTTGCTGTCATTTCTTTGGTTAAATCACTGGTATGACGTAGCCGTTTTCAACTGCATACCGCGTATGTGTGAACATTATTTTTTGCTTTGAACCAATCTATGTTGTTTGAAGGCGTAATGCTGGTTGCGTGTACTTTCTACGAGAATGTCATAATATGTTCCTCACTCAAGCAAACTTCCTAGTAGCTTGTTTTACAACTTAAATGAGAAAACACACAAACCAATAAAAAAATTTAAAAAGAATTGGAAACAATCAATTAAAATTATTACAAAAAAGATAAACTAAAAGCATGTACTTTTCTTCAAATGTATACACAAACCATACCAATTAGAGTTAGATAGTGTATGGTATAATAACGCTTGTGCTGTTTGTTTTATCTAAAATGAAATAATCATATATGTTTAAAACTATACTGAAAACTCAATGCAACCTAAACTCGAAAACTATGTACGACATACTTTAATTAGTTTGAAAGTAAGTTAACTAAACGTAAATACAACTATTTGATCAGTCCTTGGTCATATATAATATTAAATTGGTCTGTATTCGCAAGTGTTAATTTGCGGTTTGTTCAACTTCAAATCCGTTTTCCCCTACTTTTAAATCACACATTATCAAAAGTCTGTAACATACATGGATACCATGTTATCGATAGCGACTACTAATATTTAGCAAAGCTTATGCAAAACAGATGAGAATTGAATATTTAAATTTCTTGTTTTGGGTTATAATGATTCTTTTTTTGTGAAGAACCACACTGGTTAAATCAGAAAAAAATATACTGCGATGAAATTATTCCAATGGGTACTATTTGTACACCTCTAATGGACAATTCGTGTATGTACTCGTATGGTGCAGAACTTATTCAGAAACAGATAACGCACAAACAGAAAAAGCACCTTGTGAAATTCTTAAATTTCACTTTCAGATATATTGATTATGTCCAATCACAAAATAACCAATATTAAGTCAGTAATTAACATCTCATATATCCTTATTATCTTGAAATTAAATATACTAATGATACTAGAAGGACTGCTTTATTCCTTGTTCTTTCCTCAATATTGACACAGATTGACGACATCACACTAACATATATGACAAGCGGGACGACTTCAACTACCCATTAATTAATTTCCCATTTCTTAACAGTAACATACCCTCTGTCCCATCGTGTGGTGTTTACATATCTCAGTTGATATTCTATGCTCGTGAATCTTCACACTAGAAGGACTTCATATACATGATAGTGCTCGTTAATCAGAAACTGCTCTAACAGAAATATGAGGATGAAAGAATCAAAATGACACTCCGTCAATTTTGTGGACACCATAACGAGTTTTTTTTATCTATACGATACGCCCGTGTCTAAACTAACTAACGACACTTCTACACGTACTTTGGTGTACTATCTACGTCGTCTAGTATGCAAAATAACGAATATAATTGTTTTCCCCGAGTGTGAATTCGCATTGCTATTTGACGTGTCTTGGTATTTATACATCCAACATCACTGTATTTAGGTTTGATGTTGATTTTTTTGTCTGGCTGCATATAGTGTAATGTATTACCGTTTGTGGTTAAACTACTATTTTTATAATATGTTTGTATGTGCAAGTTTGAATTGCATAAACTGATTTTTTGTAATGGACGAATAACCCATATCCTTTGTTTTTATATGGTTAAAAAAAAACAATTACACCATTGCTGAGATAATAATATGCTTGTAATTGTTAAAAAAAATACATAACATAATACCATTACAAACTTTATCATAATTGCATATTCTATTTATAGAAATCATCATGTGACGTCACTTTTTTGGGGCGTTGGTACATTCGGGTGACGGACAAATCAATTATATTGAGGTGTAAATGAATGAAAGTGTGTTTAATGTTATTCTGTGGTTTATATTTTGTAATGAACTTTTATATTATTTAAATACGTATTTCTCTGTTCTGAGTGTTCTGACGTTTACTTGTTCCTGTCACGTACATGTTGTAATTTTAGTGGTATTTTATTACATTGCCATATAAGCTGGACGTTTGGCTAGCCATTAAACCATTCGGTTTTTTAAAATGTATAGTATAAAGTCAGGAAGTTGGCACTTGTTATCAAATAATCTGTATAAATGTATGTTGAAATTTATTTTGTATTATTTCATTGTTTCTATCATTCTGTTGATTTGCTCTTATAGTTGATGTGTTTCCTCGGTTTTGGTTTGCGACCCGAATTTATGTTCGCTTAATTGATTTATGGCTATTGAACAGCGTTATACGTCTGTTACCTTTAAAAACGCGTTGAGAACAGCCAAGACTGATATCCCAAAAAAATAAAACAATTGTTCAATAATATTCTTGTAAAACTAGAATTTAATAAGTGCTAAATGAAACAAATACTCATATACAAGTTGCACTTGTTAAACAATATACAAATATGACAGTCCTCCTGTTAGCATTAGTTTGAGCTTAGTGTTTTTGTTATATTATATAGTGCCAGTTAATATTGCGGAATTATCTTTTAAAAACAGCTCTTTCAATCAAAACGTCCTCATGAGTATTAGTGAAACACGTTCTATCATATAAATATTATTAATTGAAAATTAACCTTTTTGTAAACTGGAACACAAGCAAACAATCTATAACCATACTCTTTCTAACAACGCTTGATCATTACTACACAATAATGTATGCTTTCTCAATATATATTTTCATTAGACGATATTTTGTATGAGAGGACATTAAATTGTACTGATAATATGATTAAATCATAATTTAAAAAAGGCAAAGTGTGACTGTTGATGTAGATCTAGGGACAACACAAATCTCTCAGAAAAATAAAGCATTGGAAACTATACTTCGTTTTATAAATCGTATCATAATATTATTATAACATCTGAACTTACTGCATTCGTTTGTGTGTGTTAGTACGGCAACACTGAAACTTTATCTTCCTTTACAGATATGTATGTCGATTCTTTTTCTTGTTATTGTAGAATCATGCAATGACAAAAACAAATAGTACATGAATATGTTTATTGTGATAATTGTATTGAAACAAAAATAGCATGTTATTACTAACAAAATATAACAATAAAGGATTAACAATGTATAACCTTGAGACGTTATTTAAGTATGTGAAAGCAAATAAGAAAAAAAAGAAAGAAAAAAAAACAGACTTATAACAATGCATGTGTTAAAAGGTTGACACATTGTTTCTAAATCACAGAAAATAATGACAACACATTCCGTTTAAGGTGTAGTAATTTTAATGTGCATTCACAAACACAAGTTTTGTCGACAAAAATTACAAATTGACATTCCGATTGCACTATCTTTAATAATCATCCTAACCAACTACATGTCTTATACAAGTAATTAAACCATGGTTACAATACAACTTTATTTTTTAACAAATGAATATATGCATTTAAAATTTAGTAGTAATTGATAAGTATTCATACACACACAAAACAGGTTATTCAAAAATAATATGCTAGTACTGCTTGGGTCCCTCTTTTTTGTTTTTTTATCGCAGACAATTTTCACGATTGCGACAACTGCTATACTATTTTAATAATAATTCAGCACAGTCATTTTTATATGTGTTTTCCAAATTTTTCTGCAAATTGTAATAGTTATCAATACATGTAGTTAATTTAAGAATGATACTACTTATTCCTGTTAGTATACGGCAGGTTATCTGTACATAAAAATAGCTGGTGTTGTAAGTTTGCATTGAGACGTAAACAATAAAAAGTGAGTTTCAAACTGTAATATAAAATGTTAAGTGAATCAATAACAGCACATACATGTATATTTAACATTTAAGTTAAAGCGATTATCATAATACCTTGTACTGACAACATAAGTTATGCACTCATGATATAATTCAAGCATGGATTTACATACTCAATCGGTGTTTGTTTATCGGCATAACGGCTTTGAACGAATATTCAACTGGTTGGTATTTATAGAACGTTACATTATATTTTCTAAAGTTCGTTTGTTCTATATACAAGTTGGGGTAATTACATGTAATGCAAGATAACAAACGAAGTATAATGATAAATAATGCAATAATGCAGAATGCGCTAATTGTGTCATCACAACCGGTCTATCTCCTTTTGGTTATAATTCAATGCCCTCATTTACTTTGTATTTTACCTGATTATTATTTTTCCGTTTAATAGATTGATGAGATATGGAACACATGTAACCTATTGTTGCCTACGTCTAACTGTTCGGCCCTTAAACTGATGTTTCAAGATTCAACATTGACCATATATCTTGGGAACAGCTCTGTATACTTACGTAGGTATCGAGTAGAGTTTGTTTTTTCATTAATCTGATGTATTCATTTTTTTTTATCCAATCCAACTTCTTTGTTGACCCTATGCATTTTATTGTTTTGTGCTCTATTTATTTGTTTCATTTTTTTTTTTTTCTATCTTTCTGGGGTTTTTTTTGTATTAATTTTGTTTTTAAACTTAGACAATATCATTTCAAACAGAATTGTTTTATATATATATTACCAATGAATGTAGTTAACATTTTTCGTGACTGCCGAAACATTGCACAAACAAATAAGAAATGTTTTTTGATTAACCGTGTATTATATGCACTGAATTCAAACATAAACATCGAACACTTACTAATTTAACTATCAACTGCATCATTGATATTTGAACTGTAAATTAAAGGGAATGTCAAGCTACCTGTCCACGTGATAAATAACAGTCAGATATTTTGTCGTGTTTATGTCACTAAACAAGATCTAAGTCGTTGGTTGATAGTTTTACCCTATCAGCATATGGTTGAATACAAATGTAGTCATTTTATAAGTAATATTCTTGATGTTGAAAATGTCTTATTATGTTAAGAACATTGTTTTAATACAAAACAGACAGGTTGTATAAGATCACTCAACGTGTCCAATTAAATTGTGTACTGCCATGTCTAAGGAGGGGGTATAACTGATCCATACGTAATCTTTGTGGTTTAATTTACATTTCAAAAGAGGGGATATATAACTGATCCTAACGTAATCTTCGTGTTATAAAAGACAAATGTGTAAGTTATAACAAATCACATCAATTGATGAACGAAAAAGTGTTTTTCGAACAAAAATTATCAATAACAGCAAACTAAAGGAAATGCACAAGATGACAGTAGCCAACATCTATAATTGTAACATGTAATTCATCAGCTGGCATTTATACTTCGGAAGTTTTTATAAAATTTCGTAAACGCAATCATAGATGTTAAATAGCTATTTATATTATAGTTGACATATATATGTTTTCTGCATTCGTAAATATGAATATAAACTTACAACGAAGACAAAGATGGTAAGTTCCCAAAAGCATTGTTCTTCGATATGGCTAATATTGTTTCCACGTAAATATCTGTAATATGTATAACATACATGTTATCTTCTCTATATATTTTTAATATGTCCCTTGGGTTTTTGTTTTTCGTTTACTTTTTACTACATCTCCATATATTTAATTTGCAAATAAATACAAGTATAAGATAAAACTAAAACTGTTATGCATTGAACAGCTGCTTTCTGATACCGCAAGAAAAAGGAAAGATCACATAATTGTATGAACATTTGTTCGGTCGTTATTGTGAATCTTACAAAAAAGTAAAATTTATAAAGGACAACCTTTCCTCGTTCAATAATTGTTTATTGACAATATAATTGATATGAGTTTCATAATTTTACATGTTAAAGACTACGTAAAAAAAAAAGATAGTGTAAGATAGACGTAATCTGATGATAACTAAACGAAACGAAAAACAATGTTTTTTCTAGAAGTCAGCAGTCTTCAACATATGCATGTATTCCTGCAGTATGATAGGTTCTTAACTACTTTCAGTCATTAGTAGTAGAAATACATTGAATTGTATGTATTAAGTGTCCAAAACTAGCATAACTATTGGTCTTACTTCTCTTTTGTTTAATTGGATCAACAATATATAAATGAGTAAATTATAAGGAAAATAAAAGTTTAAGAAACAAAACATTATAATAACATAATGACTTACATGGTATTCAAGCTTATCATATTTGTGAATGTATTACTCTCCAATGACCGTATATTATTGTAGTGAAGATATCTAGAACGATACAACAATTGCGCTTAACTGTAACAAATTATTTATATAAACAGATTAAAGTGATATGAAACTTCAAATTAAAAAAAATGATGCATATGTTGTTTTATAACTAAATGACTAGTTTGTATTATAAAACTTATGTGCATATACTTTTTTCTCAAGAAAATTCTATGATTTGTCGAAATTTAAAAGAAATTTCCTTATTTTAATTGCTGGCCTCAAGTAAACAATTCGTCGATATGTTTTCCGTATGCAGTGAACTAAGCGTGACCTTTCTCGTACAAATCCGGTGATCGCAATACGCATAGATCAGTCATTGACATAAACTAGTATCTATGTTCATGTTATACACGTGCTCAATATCCATGCTTCTTTGTTGATTGTGTACAATCGGCTTCAAAACTCGACAATTAATTATTTGTCATACATGTCTTACTTTTACATCTTAACAGATAAAGATGCGTAAAAAATGATAAAATAGAAAACTAAGTTTATGATATATACATGCATTGGTTCAAGAATTGGATAAACATTATTTGTCACCAGTCACTCGTTTCATATGACTTAAAATGAGTGAACAATTATAAATAACGTAATAATTTGTTCGATTTATTTGTGTGTTAGTTTAACCAATTTACAAGGTATAGCAACGTCTTATGTAATGCATACTTATATACACGTGATGTTTACATGTATGCATCAACATTTCATTGCCTCGACCACGGGATCTATAAATTTGTATAAACTTATATATTGAATCAAGCATTAATGTAGCATGCTATTTGGTGTGGCGCATTCATCTGTCCTGATCAGTATCTACCAACTGCATTTGATATAATTTATAGCTTTCGGTGTTGTTCATTGTTTAAGGCCTAAGAGACTAAGATTACACCATTATTGTTAATACGTTTGTTCTCCTGTTCAAAACCCATGACCAATGAGCTAATGATACCATCGAGACTATCAGTGCATTAGTATTGGCATCGAGACAGTGGTGGTACAGAAACACCGACTATTAAGTTTATGATATCCGCGCACATCATTGTTGGTATTGACAAAGTGGTATTTAACAATAATAAAATCCATTCTTTGGACGCGCTGTTGTGATTTACCCCCATCATATCAAATAAAACATTACCATTTTAAACCAGTTTTGTATAAGTATTTCGAAACTCTAGCTAAATTGTCAAACACATAAGATTTTTATGTTTAGTTTTAATTTGATACAATAATTGATTGAAAAGAAAATTTAATGTCAAGGGGAAAAATAAATACATATACATGTATACAGGTTTATCATGTTGATAAAGTGATAATGGTATTATATTGTTTTGAAGATATATAAAAGAGATAGAATAATTCCAGCAACAGTGTTTTCTTTTGTGTTTCTGAGACAAAAATTCAGGGAGAAAAAAAAAGATATCCATCAACATTCGAATATATCCAGAAGTCAATGACAGGCACTGGTAATAATTACGACGTTTTTCTCTAATGGAAAATAAATCATAGTCATAGGTTGAAGTTTAAGCTGCCGTCTAAAACGTATCCCAACAGATTGTGACAATTTTAAAACTATATTTTTGGGACATTTTATACCCTAGCTGATTTGAAAATTTGAAATAAATTGCAAAATCAAAACCATAAAAAAAACAAATAAATGGAAAACAATTGCCACATCATTAGCTCAGATATTTCCTTATTTAGAAAATGTTTGGTTAAACCTGGGCCATATTCTAACTAGTTCTTTTCGTTTAATGATTGCGCAGGAATAAAAAGTTGCTTTTTTGTCGTTCAATTTTTTTTAAAACTGAGAGTTACATTATACATGTTATAAGAGGAATAATATGTTTAAAAGAACCAAATTCTAAACATGCTTAAGATAAATATAAATTAAAGGATATTATACACGTGAATTATACGACATAGCTTATCAAAGTTATTTTTTATGTATGACTACGGTCAATTACATTGCAACCACACGAAGAAAATAATCAAAACAATCCTAAAGGTGAATACAAATCCTCGATAACAGATACGTATCTCTTAAGAATGGCAAACATCCCGGGTCTTTAATAGTTGTTGTAGATTTATGTGTATTTATAAAAAAACTGGGACATCAACTTTCAAATCAGACATAATGCGCGTAATAACTTTATTCATAAATAAGTTACATTGAAGGATGCTGCAAGTTTAAAAAAGCATAATAATTCTATCACAACTTACAATTGATACAAGTTTGTCATGTTGATAAACGTAGTACTTTCAAGTGACCGTATCTTGTTGTCGTTTATATATCTAAAATGGAAAACGAACATGCTTTGCTAAAATAAAATAAACGCATTTAACAAAATGATAATAATCTGGGACACAAATTACCGATGTTTAAATCTGTTGAATCTTATAAAAAAAATACGTCGACTGTACACAAATAATTGTAAAATTATTGATCTCCAAACGGACGGACAATGGGTTTTTCGACACGATACGTGACATCTTCTATACTTGCATTAATAACAAGATATTGTTCAGGTAAATATATATCTAAGGTACAAAGCTTATAATTCAATACGCCAGTCGCGCGTTTCGTCTACATAAGACTCACCAGTAACGCACATATAAAAAAAGTACAAAGTTGAAGAGCATTGAGGACCTAAAATTTATAAAATGTAGTGCCAAATACTGATAAGGTAAATCAAATATAATCATAGTCTTTTTGAACCATTGAATGAATAACCATTGAAAACGAGTCTTTATTTATGGTTACAACTCAAAACTGACAATGTCCTTATTATATATGCTACATAACTTGATATGTGTTAGATTATGAAGATTTATATAGGATAAACAAAAACATACCGTATAAACTTTACGACAAAAGAGATGATTTCAGCTTCCCAATTCTGAACGTTCTATTGCTATGTAGCAACATTCCAGTATATATCTCCTAATTAATACGATATTCCCGGGCTTGTATTTCCTATCATGATGTCTTTGATAGAGGATTGCTGTTCACAAGGAAGGTATTAAACCAAGAGTTCCAAATGGTGAAGTTGAAGTCATCCCTTTGTAAATTTTACGGACGCCATCACGAGTTGGTTGACCGTTATGGAATAGCCGTTTCACAGATTATATCGGATATGTTCCTGATGTCGTAACTACAATACCCTTCCCTTTTCACGAATGTGACCTAGTGAATGAGACTATTAACCGGATTTGTAATGACATAAGCAAAACGACGGGTGCCACATGTGGATCAGGATCTGCTTACCCTTCCAGAGCACCTGAGATCACCCCCAGTTTTTGTTGGGGTTCGTGTTGCCTAGTCTTTATTTTTCTTTGTTGTGTCATCTGTACTATTATTTATCTGTTTGTCGTTTTATTTTTGGCCATTGCGTTATCAGTTTTTTTTTATCTATGAGTTTTACTGTCCCTCTGGTATCTTTCGTCCCTCTTTTTTAATTAGTACCGTAGCAAATTCAAATTTTTTCATGCTTGTTTGTTTTATACATTTTATAGTAATTTCAATTTTATAAAGTATAGTATAGTTCAACGTGCATCACCAGCTTCCCTCCTTACTACTTTTATTTTCTTACGCGTAAGATACTTGTATTAAGATTACGTTGCTATTGTCTCAGGAACTGAAAAAAAACAAGGCTTTCCAAACGGCAAAATGAAGCTTGAGGTAAGCCTTACATTGCATCTTTTTTTAATCCATTATGTATGTTAACAATTATTGTTTATTAACGTTATGATTAACAAATACATACATCAGGATTTTAGTAGACAATAGGACAAACTTTCGGTTGTTTTTGGTTTTTTTCTTGCTTTTATATAGACAAGACAATTGGTTTTCTCGTTTGACTCTTATCAGGTACTGTCATTTCATTTTTAATATGTGGTAGTATGTGCAATGGGTTTGTCTCAGTATGGGTTTTGCTCGTTGTTAAAAGCCTGTCATTGACATATACTTTAATTACATCTATACTATATAATGTACAAGTCAAATTTTCAGTTATGTTGATTGAAATAACAACAATTACCAGGTACTCACAAATATTGCAGATTTGGAAGATTCACAAAAGTGTACGGTTCTATTTTAGATAGTACATTACTGTACAGATATCTTAAAAAGAGAAGATAACACAATTTGTTCAAAATGTTCATTTTTAAAATCACAATGTAACAATTAGAAATACTGACTTTGAGGAGCAGAAAAGCTGAATTTCAGTAAAATGTTTAATTAAGCTTAAGCTTAGCCATCGTTACCTTGTGTATTGTTTGATTTATTTTTTTTTTTTTTTTTTTTATTTTTTTAATTTATCATATTTTCTCGTTTACATTAGTAAATAACATATTTATACGGGTGTTAGTTTTTGTTAGTACTATATCTACAATTTTCCATACGTAAAAAAATTATATACAATGTCAGTAATATCAATAAAGAAGTTTACCATTAAGACTATCAAACATATAATTATCTAATATAACAAATGCACAGGTTATGAAAAATATATAATTTGTGTTGTTTTAGTAGTAAAATATAAAGATATATAAGATAGGATAAAAAATAATGAAAAAAAACAAAAAAACAAAAAAAAACTAAAATAAAAAATAATTGAAAGATAGATAATCAGATCAATTTCAAATAAATTAAAAGTTGTTTTGTTTGTTTTGGTAATTTATTTGCACAGATGAATCATGTAGTTTTTTCTCATATAAGAGACAATATATCATATAAAAATTATATGTCTATTAATTTATGTACACATATACAATGTAAAAAATAACTGATCATTCGCTAAAATGGATGGCAAAAGCATTTCAACTCTGGTCAAAAATATCTACTCTTTTATTTTTAACAGCAATTAATTTTTCAGTGCCGTATAAATATTTTATTTTACTCTGCACTGCCTGCAATGTTAAAGCTTTCTTAAAATATTTGCAGTTGAAGAAAATATATTGTTTTATTTGCAAATAAATCAAATTTGCAGCATTCCCCCTAAATGATTTTGTAATTTCCCCAAACAGAAAATGTTTTATGGTAAATGGAACACTTATACCATTAGACAAAAACCATGAATCAATTTCATCAATGAATGTTTGAACAATTTCACAATTCCAAAATACATGTACAATAGTTTCTACTTCTTCTTGGCAAAATGTACAAATTGGATTGTCAGTGACATTAATTTTGGTTCAACCTAAAGTATGCTGATTTATTCTATATTGTAACCACTGCAGTTTGGTATTTTTTGTGACTACAAAAGGTAATTTGAAAATTAATCTCCGTTCATTTTCATCTACATTTAAAATTTGATCCCATTTTTTCTGACCCGTTGAAACTATATTATTTCTAATTAATAGTGAATACATGTCTTTAGTTCCCCTTGAGCTTTTAAAAAAAATCTTGGCAAATGAAGGAACAAATGGAGTGACTAGTTTATAATTATCAAAAACATAGCCCTTTCTTGCATTCTTTACAGCAGAAATTATGCTGTTGTATTTCATAACATATCTGTCAATTTTTAATGTTTCTTCTAACTGTTCCAAACTGAGAATTTTTTCAGCATCTGATACAATGTTGTTAATGAAAAATATTCCTTTATTAAACCAGTTTTATCGAAATACAGGTTTATTTTCGATTTTATACAATTGTTCATTCACAGTGGACTTGACAAAAAATATTCCCACGTATTGTTTTCATCTTTATCAATAACAATGTCCCATGCATGGAATACATCATGCCAAATTTTTTTTCATATTTACATTAATGTTTGACAGATAACCATTTCCAAATTTAAATATTTGTTCTTGATTTATTATGGAAAATAAAACATTTTTCCATTTATTGTCAGATTTGAAAAGTTTTCTAACCCAAGTAGATTTGAGGGCTGTGATAAAGGAGCTAAGGTTGATCATTTTAAATCCACCTTCACTGTAATCTGTTTGCTCTTTCTTGACTCTATGAACAGGTGAATTCCAAATCAATTTACAAATAAGCTCATTGATCTTTTTCACAAGTTCTTAATTTGGATTTGACAATGTAATTATAAGGTGATTAAGGACAGGTAAAATCAGAGTTAACTGTATTTTTACCTATTACTGTAAGATTTCTTGTTGACCATATCTTAATTAGATTTCTTATCTGCAATAATTAATGTTAATAATTTTATCATGATCAACGTCAAAATTAATACCCAATAACTTAAAAAATGTTGTACCCAGGATAAATTTCTGTTTGGACAAAGTTTATCACTACAGTATTTTTCACTCCCAATCCAAACTACCTGTGTTTTAGAAAAGTTTATATTTAGCCCTGACAGTTTTGCATACCAATCTAATTCATTTAAAGTTTCATTTAAGGACTGTTCACTTCCATCTACAATAAGTGATGTATCATCTGCAAACTATCTTAGTCACAGTTATACCAGTAATATATCTACCCCCCCCGTATTCGAATTGCCAAAATGGCTGCATAAATAATAAAAAGGGAGGGTGATAAGGGACCCCCTTGTCTACAGCCACGTCCTATTTGAAAAAAGTCTGAAAGATTTTCCCCTGAATGACTGCAGATGAGATATTATTATAAAATACTTTAACCCAGTTAATAATGGATTCACCAAAGTTGGAAAATTGAAAAACTGACACCAGAAAGTCCCAAGATAGAGAATCAAATGTTTTTTTCAAAATTGTTTGATTTATCTTAACATCCATGAACTATCAACGCCAAATTAACCTTAGATGTAAAGCGGGGTTTTTTCAGACGGCAATTAGGCGTGGTTCATAGTTCTTTTTTATCGATCAAGCATAACAAAGGATGTTAGTTTTTTTAATCCTTTCAGATTCTGTCCAATTCTGTTCTGTTCATACATGTGTTAGCTTTTACATATTTGTTAAAGACTGAATTTAGTTCATTGTTAATGGTCTCACATTGATCTATATTTAATGATTACATCTAGACGATATCAAGGATTATATCGATTCTTCCGTTCTGTTGATAGAAATAAAAAAAAAAAGTATCAGGTACTCACAAACGTTGAAGATTTAGAAGATTCGCAAAAGTGTGTGGTTCTATTGCAGAAATTTTGTTGTAATGCAGATACCTAAAATGAAAAGATTATATATGTGGAATATGTCAATTCATCAAATAACAGTACAACACTTACAACTGCAGCCTTTGACAAATATAATTTTACCAAATTAATTAGCCTAACAAGGTCAACGATTATTACGAACAAAATAAATATGGGTTAGACTTCAATCTAACCATACATCTCACTAACGTACTGTAACCTAGATGGCAGCTTTTCGTATTCAATTACAGACAACTGTCCAAACACTATGCCAAAATGTCAAAAGTTCCGAGTTAACATCAACAAAACACTGTACAGACACATGCACGTGATTATCATTAAACCACTTTTATCAAGTGCCGATCAACATTGAAAATATGTCATACGAGAACTACTGACGAGTTCTCTGACTCAAGTGTTAGCCTCAAACAGCACTGATACTTATTTTCCAACCCTCCGTGTAATTTAAAAAAATATAATGACTTAAAAATAATGTTATGATTTAAGATAACTGAAACGAAATCAATCTATTCAAAATATCTTTTATTTACACATGAACCAACTGTAGTTCTTAAATTTGAAGTTATATTTGTTAAAACTTAACCAGGATGACTGCTTTTTAGAGCGCACGACCAATCATCTTTATACAGTGACCTATATAGCTTCAAGTCTTGAGTGATTAATAAACTTAGATATATTTCCTCTTTTGATACCCTCGATATTCTAAGCGAGAGTTCAAACGAATTTCACAAGTTTGATATTTAGTTTACATAATGATATTCAAAGAGTTTATATCCAGTCAAAATAGAAGTAGTGGAGTAGAACAATAGCATATCGTCATACGTTTAATTTAAACATATTTATTTTATAGCGGATTGGGAAACAAGTTATTGCAACTTATATTAATTCCTTTCCACTTTGCGGGTGCGAGTGTTTCCTTGTAGCGGCATTAGCCTGCTCTTTTTTTCGAAAACTACAAGGGTGTCTTTTACGTGCAAGAGATATGGCTCTCTCTTTACACGGGTCAGTCATTTATTGTCGCCTTCTGACGGATCATCATCGTTCCTAAAGACCATACTCGCAAATGGTGTTAAGGGAGAGTCGACAACAAAATTCATATGCAAATCCCCCCCCCCCCCCCCCCATACATACACAATTTGACGTTGCAAGCAAAAAAGAGTCGTCAGAAGGTGTCTAATAGAGGGTTGAAAAACACTAAAGGGACAGTCAACCTCATAAATAGTAAAAATAAATTGACTACGCCATGGTTAAAAAGCAAAGAGACAAACGGACAATAAATAGTACAAAAGGCAAACAAATATGATTAAGCAACACTTACCCCACCAAAAACTGGGGGTGATCTCAGGTGCCCTTAATGGTCGGCAGATCCTGCTGTACATTTAGCACCCGTTGTGTTGCTCAAGTTACTACAATTCCGGTAAATAGTCTCATTTGGTAGGTAACATTCGTGAGAAGGGAAGCGGTTTGTAGTTACGACATAAGGAACATATCTGATATCATTTGTGAATCGGTAATTTCATAACGGTCAACAGTTATACAAGTACATAGTCAGATCGTGTTATTGTTGTACTTAATATAGCAAAAGTTCAACTTTCATTTCACTTAAATGAATAATCATAGTTATTAATCCGTTCATGTTTTATCGCACTGCCGTTCAAATGTCTACCGTCGGTCTTTTGTTTGAAAAGCAATGAAACCCCTTGGTGTGTTATATTACAATTTAAATCAATGCATAGAAATTATCATTTATTTAACAATGTATTCCCATAAAAAAACATTATGAAGAAAATGTGGATTGCATAGTTTAATTTTAGGAATTAAATGACGCTTGAGAAGTTGAATATATAATTCATTTCATATGTGTATTGTCGTACGGGAAAAAAAGCATTTCAATTTGTGTGAGAGCATCATTTGATACCGTTATGGTTGTGTGTTGTTCTCGAAAGTTTTACTATACGGTTAATACGATATGAATATATACTATATATACTTACAATTGAATCAGTAGTCCACAATCTACAAATGAGTTTACCGGGACTTCAGGAATCTGATTGTTGTCGATGTAGCTTAAAAAAGAGTCGAACATTACATAATTTCTTTAGGTATTTAACTGATATATTTCGGTTCGTATATTTATTCATAATTACCAGACAAGAGAGAACGCTGTTACGTTTACTTAACCATGCGTTGCTCTTCATTTCTATAAACTGCCTTGTTCACGTAGTGTGTATATTTTATCTTCCACATTGGATAATTGTCTGTTAATGAGATTATAATTACACTTACTTTTGTGCGTTACAAATCCGTATGGTTACTTTTTACAAAACGACAGATAGAGATTTCAGCTTACGAGTTATAAAATATGTTCAATATAATTAGCTCAAATTTGCAGAAGCTTTAATTTAACGAAAGGCATGTAAGTACACGATGATATGGTTACAAGGTTATAACTAACTAAGTAACAGAATTGTTTCGCTATTTGTTTGGTAACGTAGTTTTTTATGTTATTTTTTAAAAAGGTGGAACATGTTGAAATATAAGTGTCAAGGTTTGAGTATAACATAGAGTTACAAGAATATGATACTTTTATACAATTATTGACCTCCGATCTCAATTGGTAATGTGATTTATCAACCCAAGATATTTTATATTCACCGAGGCAAACGATGGAGGTCATAAATATAGGGTAGAAACATAAAGTATACTGCTGTTCAAAAGTCATAAATGGACGAAGAGAAAACAAATCCGGGTTAAAAACTCATCAAATATAAGAGGTAAACCACGGAACAAAAGAAACACTAAACTGCAACAAAAACAAACGACAACATACATAGAAACTGACTATTTGATACCATAGAAAAATAATTTGATGATTTTTTAATTTTTTTCTCATTTCTAGTATATGCTCAAGATACTTTCAAAACGGCTCCTTGTTTTGTACAATCCAGTTGTTAACTTTCATAAGTTGAAACATTAAACAAATTTTACTAAAACATAAAACAAAAAACACACATAACGAGGAGAAACCAATACACCAAAACAAAAATAATTCACTAACGTTCCCTTGGAACATATATATATAATTAGGAACACTTTAGCCGTTCCAAATATTATATACCCTCTCGTGATTTTTTCCCGCGTTGAATGCAATGCTTAATCTGTGTGCTTTTAGCAGATGACAAAGATAATAGTGTTAGTCATATAAGTTATCAAAGGTACCCCAAAAAAAATGTAAAGTTATTATAATACACATATGGCACATGGATATTTCATTTTATTTCTATCAGTGTTCAACATGTGATTTTGAAATACTTTAAAGTGAAAAAAAAAAAAAAAAAAAAAAAAAAAAAAACTTTCTCGTTTTTTATTCAACTATAAGTGTTTTGATAGGAAAGATAGTTGCTGCATATTAAATTTAGACTTATTTGTGTTTGCACTGTCCCTAAGTCAGGAATCTGATGTTCAGTGGTTGTTGTTTGTTGATGTGGTTCTTAAGTGTTCCTCGTTTCTCTTTTTTTTATATATAGATAAGTCCGTTGGCTTTCCCGTTAGAATGGTTTTACACTAGTCAATTATGGCCTTTTATAGCTTGCTGATCGGTGTGAGCTAAGGCTACGTGTTGAAGACCGTACTTTGACCTATAATTATCTACTTTAATTTACAAATTGTGACTTGGGTGGAGAGTTGCGTCATTTGAACACATATCAAATGTTCTTATATCTATTGAATACTGACTGTCAAAATCATAAAACTACGATACATGGCACAATAATTTGAATGTGTGGTAACAATTATATATATGTTATATGAAACAAAACAAAAAAGTTAGTACATACAGATTGCAACTGTGGCATGTCTTTACAAAACTGAACATCAATTGCTGTTATTTTGTTATCCCCGAGATTACTTGATAAACGATAAAAAAAAAGGAATAATTAAAAAAACAACTGAAACATAGTTCTGTTTTGTAACTGCCAATATTTTAATTAATCTTTTTTCGAATGGTATAAACATTGTTTAAATATTCAGAAATGCTATTTTGGTTTTACTTTTATTTTTGTTAGTTGCACAATGATTATTTGTCACCACATCTCTTGGAAGAACCTGTTTCGTTATTGTTGTAATGACATGTGTGATGAAAGGAGCTGTCAACTAATTGTGCAGTAATTGGTTCCCGATTTAAGCAAAGAAAATGGCTATATCAATATTATAAAAATAACTAATCAATTATTTTTCATTGACGTCCGATGTTGTGAAATCGTTGGTATCGAAAAAAATGATTGAAAAACAAAGGATATTGTGTATTCATCCATGACACAGCATCAGTACATTCACATTAAAGACACACGATATGATTGTTTATAAAACTGTGAAAATCAAGTCATGGCAATATTATATTTTCCTGATTATGCATTTCTTTATACAACTTTGTTATGTTTTACACAAAAAAAAACGTACCATCGAGGTGTATTTTCTGGATTTTGCCGAATGATGTCGAAATGTCATGCGATATGATAATAACCCAAAGCAGTTGATATAAAACGGAAGCAGTTGATATAAACCGGAAACAGTTGATATAAACTGGACGCAGTCATATCACACGGCTAAAGAAATTCTTCAAATTTAATGAATAAATGCATATACAAATAAGTTTTATCTGGAGGTACAATTATATCATTATTGTCTGTAAGTATATGATAAAATGATTTATCAAGCCCAGATATATGATATTCATCCTTGCTCGTTGGCCTCGGTTAATAGTATATGTCTGGGGTTGATAAAACCTCATCAAAAGTCATTAACATGGTATACATAATGATTTGGTGTTGATATCTTTACTATTGATGTGTATTTGTTTTTCTACATTTGCTTGAGGTATAGGGGAGGGTTGAGATTTCAAACAAAATGTTAAACCCCGCCGCATTTTGTGCGCATGTCCCAGGTCAGGAGCCTCTGGCCTTTGTAAATCTTGTATTTTTTTTCATTTAAGTTCTCTTATATATTTCGGATTCTAGTATGACGTCTATTATATATGAACTAGTATATTTTTTTGTTTAGCGGCCAGCTAAAGCACGCCTCCGGGTGTGGTATTTTATTGCTGTTTTGAAGACCAACTGCTGGACTTCGGCTGTTTTCTGCTCTTTTGTGGAATTGTTTCCTCTTTAACGCATTCCCCATTCCCATTCTTAATTTTACTCCTTCTGATTTGTTTAATATGTCGATTTTTTCTTTTCACATCTCAACTAATATTTATACCTTTGACAAAATTCGGTCATTAGACATTACATTATTTAGATGATTCCAGTGACTATATCTAAAAGTTCCATGAACTGTATTATATTTATATCTATAAAACCCTGTGTATACTCACATGTTCTTTGTATCTGTGGGAAAGTCAGGAATGTGATCTAACGATCTTGACTGACAGGTTACGTAATAACCCGAACAGTAGCAATTTGGCGGACATAAACCATGTACTATACTAGCACTGAATATAAAAAAAAGGAGCACTGACATTTCCATTGCTGGAAAAAAAAGTATCTTGAAAACAAGCGTCAGTTGAACCACGACACCGGGTGCTGGATTTTTTACTTTATTTGTGGCCATCGGCTGTTTTCTGCACTTTGGACGGGTTGTTGCTTTTTTGACAAATTTCCCATATCCATTCTCAATTTTATTTTTATATATTCTAACCTTAAAACATGCATGAACGAAATTGCACATCATTCCTACCAAAACAACAAGACATAAGTCAACATGACATGCATAACGCGCGTTATATCTTTGTCATCTCAAATGAATTACAATCATGATTTTACAAAATGAAAAAAAAATGAAAGATTTTTTTTTTTTTTTTATGAAATAATAAAAAACAAAAAAACAACAGGTACAAAGTTGTACGTATATACAATCTACAAGTGAATCAGAAGTGAAGAAGCCAAAAGTGAGAACAACACTACATAAGTTACAGAGGAACTGAAAGGCTACAAAACTTAAGATAGAAAGTGTGAACACTTGAAAACGAAAACCTTACAAAGAACGGAGGTGACATCTGATGCTCTGAATCTGCATTGCTCATTTGTCATGAAGCGGGGTTAGTAGGAACTTAGGATATACAGACATACATACACACGGTAATGGACACATAACACTTGATGGTGTCTTTGTAACATTCGAAGAGATGACTGAAGATTTACCACCTGGTTCAATAGCCACTTTGCACTATCAACATGGTTAACAGTATTTAGATTCAAGTCAAGATTTAATGCAGACGCATCTTCAAGTGCAATGATGTTATCTTGTCTCAATTGACATGTTGAATGCTCAGTGTTAATTGTAAACAGACTTTTTAAAAAAACTATGTTTCTGACGTTACGACTTTTGATAGAGGAATGACATCGACACTTCTTACGGTCCCTAGGATCACGAACTGTTCTCTAGTATATATTCCCCTAAGGCGTAATACCACCATGTCATAGTACGCCACATATGGTTGCTTACGAACAAGGGTCGAAAAATATTCCCTTGAATATGACAGTAGTAGGCAATAAATCCTACATTTCATTGCTGTAAACAATGTCTGGGTCACAAACATATATCTTAAATATTTCAAAGCACCATTTTTTGTTTTGTTATTCGGGGTTTCTATAGAATATTTTGGAAACTTTAGGTTAACTTTCATTAATGGCTATATTCTTATATGCAATGAAATGCAATGTGAAATTTTGTCTATAATGCTAGATACGGTTAAACTTTACTAACGCCAAGTATTTTTTATTGGAAACAAAGATAAATTTTGCATAATTTTTTTTTAAAAGTGACAATTTAAAAAACGACTTTTTTTAGGAAAAATCAATGGTGGTAATAAACCTAATAGTAAAGGACCTCGCCAAAAAGGAAAAATACACAATATGTAATTGATGTTCAAATAAAAACGATTAATATGCAACAACAATAGTAAAGAGTATACTGAGTTCAGGGAAATTATGTTGAGTTTAGTTTAAAGTGGCTCGGATGTCTTCCTCCATCTTGGATTTTAAAGTAGCAGATAACGTTAGTCTAGATATTTGATGAAATGTGCAAATTTTGATAATAGTATGTAATTTATGTAAAAGAATTTTGATGTAAATATAGAAAATTGTGTGTTTTATTATAATTACGGCTGTACTTTCTCAAAAACACCTTATGTGTGTTTGATAAGATTTTGTTCATCTTTGCCAAATAAGGGGAGATAACTCAGATAAAGTAATTTTTATAATAGAGAGT